AGACATTAGTGTTGTATACAGAATAAAGTAGAGGGGAGAGGGGTGGTAATACTTGGTGTATATGCAGGGTTTTTATGTCAGCGTCTCTTGAGTAGGTTCTCTTTCTATTTGTTTATTATATTTCCTTGGTAGTGAGAGAGGTTGGGATGGCCAGGGCATGGTTGCAGTGAGATTTGTTTGCATGGGGGGGGGTGTTGGGTCAAGTTAACCATATCGATTCATATTTTGGTGGTGGGTTCTTGTTTTGTTCTTGTTGCTGTGTATGTAATAAATGGGAGCCATACCACAGTGAAGGTGTCCTCTTTTATTTGTCCCCATGTAAGTTTCAATCTGTAGGTTAGCTTTTCTAGTAAGGCTGTTTCCCATAGGATTTGGTACCAGTGGTCCATGTTCACTCCTGACAAGTCTCTCCAGTGTCTGGCTATGATGCTTCAGGCTGCTGAGAGTAGGTGGGTTATAAGCTCTTTATAATGTGAGTGGGCATTGGCAGAGGGTGTTTTTCATGGGGAAAGGGGGAAAAGTTGGTGGAAATCTGTTGATCCACTTTCTCCACATCACTCAATGATGGCCTGAGACATTTTGACAGCTGAGGTGAAGCACGATAGGGAATAAAAATCTACATCAGGAACAAGGGTGGGAGACCAGCAGCACCTCCTATTTGCCAAGAGGCCACCGTAGAGGTGGCACTGGGAGGCTTCTGCTGAGAAGGCAGCAGGTCCAGCCTCCAAGGAGTGTGCCACAGCCATTGCTGCTACTGGGCAATAGCAGATGATGCATTCCTTGGAGGCTGAATCTGCTGTCCATGCAGATCCTGCCACCCAAGGCAATCACCTCACCTTGCCTCATGTGTGGGCTGGCCCTGATATCACTCATAATTTTACAAACTTCTTTTTATGTGCTCGTTATTGCTTTTCAGTAAGTAGTTTTAAGGAAAGCAGCATGATTCCTGTGTTTGTTGTTCATTAAACTGTAGCAGTTCTCATTTCTTCATCCTTGCAAGCCAATATCCAAGGAGAGTGCCCGTATGAAAAGGACTTTCTTTTGGATTGACAGTTACAGTGTGAGGCATAAACAATGCTACTGTAATATTGAAAGACTAATTAGTCTTATACGGGGAGGCCAGTCACAATCTAGCTGTATGGTGACTTGTTGCTTTTGCAGATTGGAAAAAAAAGTAAAATAGAAGGAATCCAAGCAGATGAACACAGAGACTTTGAGGATGCTGTAGAAAAAAACTTATAAAAGAGACACCTGTTAGAAAATTAGATGAAAACAGAGAATTTGGATGTGAATTGGTTAACATAAACATTTGCAGAAAAAACATCAGGATGAAACAGATGCTTTCTAAATAAAGATAACTGGAAAAAAATGAAATATCGAGAACTACTAAAACAGAACAAAGCAAAATACAGAAAACAAAAACATGCCAATGCATCTTCCAAAACAGAAGAAGAAAAAAGCAAGATTCCCAGTCTCACCTAGCCTTACTTCCCATACTACTACTCTACATATTCAGTAAACTGAAGCCTAGAGTTATGTGAAGTACGGTACCTCTGGCATAGTCTTTGCACTTCTTCTATAGAACAAAACAGAGGCTGAAATACAAAGATGTTCATCCTGCTCTGGACAGCATTGCGCTCCCCCTGAAAGAGCAAGTATGCAGTTTGAGTGAACACCTTAATCCAGCATTGTCATTTGAGTCCCAGGTAGTCTTAGTGGCCTGGAGAGCCTTTAACCATGTTCATCTGGTTAACCAGCAGTGATAATCCTGGACAGGGTTAGCCTAGCACTGGTGATGCAAGCTCTGGCAACCTCTCCACTGGATTATTGTAATGTAGGGATGCAGAACCTGTGGACACCCAGGTGTTGCTAGACTAAAACTCCCATCATCAATGACCACTGACCATGCTGCTGGGACTGATGTGAGTTGTTGTCCAGCAACATCTGGGGGCCAATGGTTCCCATAATGGCATAATGTGTTATATGTAAAGGTAAAGGACCCCTGACAGTTAAGTCCAGTCACGAACGACTCTGGGGCTGCAGTCCTCATCTCACTTTACTGGCCGAGGGAGCTGACATTTGTCCGCAGAAAGTTTTTCTGGGTCATGTGGCCAGAATGACTAAGCCACTTCTGGCGAAACCAGAGCAGTGCACAGAAATGCCATTTACCTTCCCGCTGGAGCAGTACCTATTTATCTACTTGCACTTTGACGTGCTTTCGAACAGCTAGGTTGGCAGGAGCTGGGACCAAGCAACAGGAGCTCACCCCGATGTGGGGATTCGAACCACTGACCTTCCAATCGGCAAGCCCTAGTCTCAATGGTTTAGACCACAGCACCACCCGCATCCCGTGTTATATGTAGGGCTGCCTTAATTATGATCCAGAAGCTTCAGTCACTGCAAAGCTCCTAAATTTTGATGGGTACAAGAAGGAAATGCAAACAAATGAAACTAAATATAAATTATAATTTGTAAAGGCAGCAGGTAGATCTTCATGCCTGACTCCATTAGCAGGCACTAGAAATCTGTGTTTCCATTCTCATTAGTATCATCACAGGGTTGTTGTGGAGATTAATTGAGGAGAACCACACATGCCACCTTGCGCTCCTTGCAGGGGAAAGGTAGGGTATAAATGCATTTGATGATGATGATGATGATGATAATTGCATTTATCTGTCACTACAAAAATGCCTTGAAGTGACTTACAATAATAAAAGCATATGTGATACAAAAATTAAAAGACATCAAAAATATAAAAGAACATCAGCTGAAGAAGAGTACTCATCCTGCAATAAAATAAAAGGGCAAATCCTATCCCACCCTACTAATACAGGCTTGGGTATCATCAAAACTTATGACCCCAACGAAAAGCCAAATATTTGAGTGAACAAGAATGTTTTTGCCTGTTACCTAAAAGTTGATAATGATGGTGCCTGGTGCATCTCTCTGGGGAGAGCAGTGCAAAACTGGGCAGTCACTACTGAAAAGGAACTTCTCATGTGGCCACATTTTGCACTGTCCATGGAGGGGGGGGGTACACAAAGATGGGCAACAGAGGTTCTGGGAAGGTTCATGTAGGGAAAGGTGCTTGGTCTGTGTGCCAGTATTTCCCCCTGAGTATGCTCTTTCCTGTAGTTGCTATTGGTTGCTGAGATATATGGTTGTGCAAAGACACTTGCATATGGTCCATATAGAAGGCTTAGTTTCTAAAACTAAGAGCAAAAGTGGTACTGAAGCCAATAGTACTTTCTAGAATCTGTACCCTGGACCTGATGCCCTGGCTTTGGGTGCTATGAACACTAGAACCTTGGCTACTAAACCCAAACCTGTCAGGCATCCGGCAGCACTCTGAACATGCTCAGAGGCAGGCTCATGTTCCAAACCCAAATCCTAATACGGCTTCTGCCACCCATTTAAAGGGATGCCGTGAATAAACTGCAATATTCAAAATTATGAGCTGAGCCCTCATCTCCATCCGCCAGGTCTCCTTGGGGGAGCGGAACCTTCAACAAGGTGCCTACGATGTGAGGAGTGCAATGAGCCGAAAAACGACGCGATGCCCGGGCGCTGGGTTTTCCCTGTGTGGCGAATGGAGCTCCCCCGTCTCTTGCACCGGTCCAAGTTAAGACGTCTCTAAGAGACAATGGGCTCTTTCTGCCAGGTGGGCGACTCTGTCCTTTCGCGCTTCGCCTGCCTGCCCACGAGCGACGCGCCTCGCCAAGGAAGCGCTAATCCTCCGTAGCCTTTCTTCTTGTCAGCTGCGCTGTTGGTCTGGCTCGTCCTAACCGACATCCTCATGCTAATGTGCCTGTCTCCAATCCCCAGCAAATGGCCTCAGGCGGGGATTGCTCACTTGGCTTTGTGGAAGAGGGGGATAAGGACGCCTCTTGTGCGAAGGCACTTCCAGCTGAAGGCAGCAGCTCCAGCCGTTTGATTCCAGCGCGCGCGACGCCCCCCGTCACTCACCTCCTGCGTCCCCACCAGCGTGGAGCTGGCGCGCGGCCAAGAAAGGCTTTCCCGCGTCCGCCCCCCCCCCCCCTCGTGGCACACATACATAATGCATCCGTGTAACAAGAGCAGGTCCCTTCTCGGGCATGGCCCGTCGCACGCGAGCCGCCTCCCGGTCCCCTCCCTCCTACCCCCGTGCGCCACCTGCTGCGGAAGACTCCCCTCCTCTTCGTCGCCACGCGGCCTGAGGTAACAAAGCACTGCTAATGAGGCAGCAGCCTGCGCGGCTCCGCTCACTCGCCCGTGCCAAGAAGGCGGGAAACCAGCTTCCCCCACCGCCCCGCCCCGCCCCGCGAGCACCTGCTCCGCTTGACTGGCGTCCGGAAGGGCAACCAGACCCCTCGCGGCAAGCAAGCGCTTCTGCGCGGATGGGCACCTGCAACTTCTCCCACGCGGCCCCATCACCTCAGCTGCAGCTCCGCCGCTGTCTCCTCGCGCCCGCCCAGCTTGCAGCCTCGAAACAGGCTCAGGGCCACACCGGCGTGGCACTAAACAGCCTAAGCGGGCAGCGGCAGCAAGTCTGTGGTGGAACTCTAGTCTCTGCCTCTCCCCTCACGGATATACATATCTATATATTTCCCACCCACCGAAATACCCCCCACAGGTGTGTTGCCGTCAAATAAATCCCCCCCGCCCTGCTTAGAGTGCGATCTTGGTAGCCCTCCCCGTGTCCCCTGCACACAAGTAGCCACCCTTTCGCCTCCGCTCTGCAAAGCAAGGCGGACGCCTCTTCCTCCCGTCCTTCCCGGAACGTTTTCTGCAGACCACCCCTCAGCGCTCCTCGTCTAGGCGATTCATTCTTTCTCCCCTCAAATCCCCTCATCCTGTTGCATCGGCTGCTTGCGTCCCCTCCCCAGTGCCATCACCTCCCTCCCTCCCTCCTGGGCGCCACGGCTGCTCTGTGTGTATGTGTGTGCGCTCTCGCGCGCGCGTGTGTATTGGGGAGGGGGGAGAGGGATGAGGTCATCCTCTTTCCCGGCGTCAGTCAGCTGGGTGGCGGCGGCAGCAGCGGCGGCGGCGGCAAAGCGGCGGGGCGGGCCAGGCCGAGGAAAGGATGGTCTGCTTCGGGGACCGCTCCCCGGGCTGCTCGCGCCTGGGGCTGGGCGGGTGAGCGGGTCTCCCCGCAGGCAGGCGGCGCTCCAGCAGCGCCCGCAGGCGCCGCTGGCCCAGCCCCGTCAGCGCCCCGAGAAGAGCCGCCGAGGGAGCGGCTTGTCCGCGGCAGCAGCGGCGGGGGAGGGAGGGGGCGGACTCCAAGGGGCTCCCGGACGGGGTCCCTCTCCCTGCCGCCGCCGCCGCCGCCGCCTTCCAGCCGCATCATGGCCGCGAAGTCCGACGGGGGGCGGCTGAAGATGAAGAAGGGCAGCGAGGTGGCGTTCACGCCGCTGCAGAACTCGGAGCACTCGGGCTCGGTGCAGGCGCTGGCCTCGGGCTTGCCCTCGGCGGCGGGGCCCGGCGGCGCCGAAGACGACGAGGCGCCTGGCGGCGGCGGCGGCTGCTGCTCCTCCGGCGGCTGCCGTTGCTGCTGTAGCGGCGGCGGCGGCGGGCGGGCGGCCGGGGGCTCGCGGGGCTCGGGCGGCGGCTCGTCGTCGCTGTGCCTGCGGCTGGGCCGGGAGCAGCGGCGCTACACGCTGTGGGACGGGCTCTGGATCCTGGCGGCCGTGGCCGTGTACTTCGCGGACGTGGGCACGGACCTCTGGCTGGCGGTCGACTACTACCTGCGCGGCCAGCGCTGGTGGTTCGGGCTGACGCTCTTCTTCGTGCTGCTGGGCTCGCTCTCGGTGCAGGTCTTCAGCTTCCGCTGGTTCGTGCACGACTTCAGCAGCGAGGACGGGGCGGCGGCGGCGGCGGCGGCGGCAGGGGCGCCCGGCTCCTCGTCGGCCGGCGGCCACGGCGAGAGCAAGCTGCTGGTGAGCAGCGGTTCCGCCGCGGGGGACATGGAGGCCGGCGCCCGGCCCGGCACGCCGCAGAGGCAGGCGTCCAACGCCAGCAAGGGCAACGCCACCAACAGCACCAACAGCAGCAGCAGCACCAACGCCGCCACCGGAGGAGCGGCAGGGGCGGGCGGCGGCGGCGGCATCCGGCCCCCCAAGAGCCGGTCCGCCTCCTGCGCCTTCTGCATCTGGCTCATGCAGTCGCTCATCCACATCCTGCAGCTGGGGCAGATCTGGAGGTAAGGCACGCGCGCTCACCGGGCTCACCTTCCTTGAACTCCCTGCGCTAAGGCAGGCGCGCAGCCGGGCCTCGGTCGCCTGGGAAAGTGTCCTAAGAGGCGCAGAGCCGGCGACTTGCCTAGCCGGGTCTGACGCCGAGGCCCGGTTGCCTTAACTGCTGGACAGCTCTTGGGGAGGCGGGGTGGGGGCCCATCACAGTCTGCCCACCCCGCGCCTCTCCAAGGGCAACTGTCTCGTGTCGTGCGCCTTGAACTCTCTGTGTGTCAACGCCCGGGCTTGAATTAACTGACCCGCCAAGGCATCGATTCCTTGCGTGTGCTCGCCCGTGCTGCCACTTAGGGCTTTTCAGGAGCGGCTGAATAGGCACACAATGGAGAGATGGCATCCACGCCCCTTAGGAGACTCGTTTGTTTTTGCACTGTTGGGCTGCGTGATGCTGAGACCTCGCCTGTTTCCCTGCTTGTCTCCTGAGCTTTAAAAGCAGAGATGCGCTTGGCAGGTAATAATGGGTGGGGTCATTCCAAATTCTGAAGCGGAAATACCATATCACTAGGATAATCCATGCGTCTGCTTAAAAAGGAGCACACGCAAATTCCAGCTCCAGCTCCGATTGACTTGCTAAGTCACAAGGCGTTATTTCTGAGGCTGTTACTTGTTTAAAAGTAATATGGGGAACAAGCACATGGTTAGTTGTTTAAGGGTCCTATGGCTTTGGTGCCATAACGTCACCTTATGAAAAGGTATATGCAATAAGTTTAGAGAAGAGGAGCATTGTAAAGGACTGTAGTTTCAAAATCCTGAATAGGTGTTGTAGGCTACTTAGCACTCACTTCTGAGTAAAGGTGGATGGGGCTGTATTGTAAGATGAGTTTGTCAGCAGTCTTTGGTTCTCCTCACAAAATAAGTGTTTGTATGCGCACCTTGTTAAGTCACTTTGAGACCAACAAATGGAATTGATAGTAATAATAAATTAGCATTCACTTTAAAGTGTAATAAAGTATTTGGACAAATTTAGAGAAACGCGAATTTAACCTCTGCATTAAACTACTGTACTTTTTAAAAGGCTCCATGTAACATCAGTTGTCTGTCTGTGTGTGTGTGTGTGTGTGTGTGTGTGTCTACTTGATAAAAGTAGAATTCAAGAACCTTGGTTAAGCTTGAAATTGTGATCCAGCTGAAATGACTGCAGATTTTATTATGGGACTGACTAGGATCAGTGGGTTTCCTTTCTTAGTAGCTATGAAGGACACTGCAGGTGAGTACATAGCTGCCTGATTGAATCAATGTGTAAAAAAGTGTTAGAGCACTTAAAAATAGAGGACTATAGTCACTTTGTTCCTGGAGATCTTGGTTGGTGTCTTACTTAATTCCGACAGCAAGTGTTTTTAGTGATTTATTTAAAAATTGAGGTGGAATGGCTGCAGTGAATTTTAACTGATAGTTGATATTTGTTTTTTAAAGTATATCTGAACCTGTATATAGAACTATATAAAAAGTAACATATGATATAGCTTACAGTTGATGATAATATTGGAGATTCTGGCTTTGTGACTAAAGGTATATTTCAATAAATCTTTGTGTTCATGGATATTTTCTTATAATGTTTCTGAAGGAAGAGAATATTTCTAAAATTCTGCTGTAACATAATATGGAACTTCTTCATTCCAAAATGACATCCACCTTTATCTCTATTATTTATATTTTAGTCAAAGATGTCTTTATTAAACTGGCCACACCCTATTGCTCACATACTTTGGTTATCTGGACTGTAATCCAGATAATTGATTTCAAAATGTTGTGTCATGACGTGGAAGAAAGAGAGGGGCATTGTGACCTGGGTGAGCACAAAGCAGCTCACTGTTTAGGACACCATCAGGACTTCCAGGTGAGAATTTGTTAAACTAGGGGTGCTCTGTAGCTAAGGTTGTACAGCAGGGGAGGGGGACTGGATTCAGCCAGTGGAGTGGATTCAGAACCCCCCCACCCTTGTGGGCCACTTTGACAGGTGGGTGGGGCCAGCCACCTGTAAATCACCTGGCACCACCATGACTTCAAAGGAAGTAATCGGGAGTGCACCCTAAGTATGCTCCTGATTCTTCCTTTTTTTCCTTTGCAGGCATATCTTGAGTTCAAGAAGTGGTTGCAAAGGAACAATCTTTCTTTGTAGCCACTTCTTCAAATAAAACCACACCTGCAAAGGAAGGTTTTAACTGCAGAGAAAACATGTTCTTTTGCATCTCCACTCTGAATTCAATTTAGGGACACACACAAAAAGAATCACCAGCATTTTCTAGCTATGCTCACACCCCTTTTTCCCCTGCAGTCAAAGGCCAGCACTTTTTAAAATTTTCCTTCCACTGAGCAGGGTGTCAGGAAAAGATACCAAAATCTTAAAAGCACTGACATTTAGCTGCAAGGGGGGTGGGGAAAGTGTGCACTTGATTTTTTCATTCCTTTGGCCATGGACTGAAATTTCAATATGTGCCATATCTGATGTCATATATGATGTCAGCCCTAGCAAATGTAGATAGGGTTAGCCAAAATGACCTTCCAAAGCTGGCGAGTCTCATTTGACCCATGGGCTGAAGGTTCCCCACTACTGTTGTATGATATTGAGAAGATGGCATCATTGTTGAATGCTAGAATTGGAAACTACATGCAGCCTTTGAGACACTTTAGCATTGCCTCCTCATTCTTCTCAGAATATCTGCTTTTATTTTAAAAATGAGGGCTTATTACTTTTCCCACTATGAGAATCAACACTATTTTTAAAAAGCACACATTTACACACTTTAGAATTTTGATATGTACATTGTTTATCATTTTTTCACCAAAGATAGGCATTAATATTTGTTTTTTAAAAATACACGAAAAGCAGATTTATTGCAAAGCTTGGGGGAATGTTTACATATGACTGAGGTTCAAAAGTAGGCATTCCTCATCATTTTAAAATTTCATATATATATATATCCATTCCATGTTGCAGGATATTTTGGACTAAAAGGTCTATAAACTACAGGTAAACAGAATACTATATTGGACCCTGTTTGGTAAAGCACATGAGAATCACTAATAAAAATATTATTAAGAATAATGTAGATACATTGGAAATCTAGGCTGAAAATTGTTTTATGATATTTTTTTAAATATATTTGATATATTTTTGATATATATATATATTATATATTTAATATGTATTATTACATGTGCAGACAAATTATTCTAGCATTTGTTGTTGTTGATGTTGTTATATTGGCTCTATTTTCTTCTTCTGACCACACTTGGTGCAGTTAACAGTTAAGCAAAGCCTAGTAAAGTAACAGTTTGTCACTTCTCATTTCTGTGTTTTCCCTGCTAACATTTCCTGGCCTTAGCAGTAGGGCTGGAGGTGCTGTAGGTCATTTAGAGAAAGTGGAAAAGGAAGAATATCAGCAAGAATTCAGGAGACAAGCATTGATATTTCCCAGCAGTAGCACTGGTCTTCTATCCCATCATCTTAATGTACTTGGAACTTTGGAAGTTGCACAGGATATGGTGAAAAGTACTTTGCACTAACAGAACAAGAGAACAGCACTGGCCAGTGAGGTGGGTCTCTGGCTGGCACCCAGTAGCAATCATCCAGCGCAGCAAAGCTCATTCTTTCTAGTAACTATCAGGAGTCCAGAACCATGTGAATGCATGGTTGCTGAGTGACTAATAGTTCCTAGTGTTAGAATTGGCTTCCAACATAGGTGGTGGTGCTAGTTGGACAGCAACCATGTACTTCCACAGTGCTGACTGAGACACACCCTGCCACCTCATGACAGTTACCAACAAACTGCAGCTTTTCCTCTCCTGTCTTGATTGCCTGCAGAGGTGACTGATTATTTCCTCTAGCAAGACACCTCAATGGCTGTCAGTAGGCATGTGTGAATCCCTATCCCACCCTCCTGTGCATAGACTGAATCTTTCTCGTTGTCCCGTGCTGCATGGAAAAGTAAGATTTTGCCAGTCTATCTTCCCCTGCCCTTGTGCAGTGAAATGCATGTTTTGCACTGTTCATATTTATGGTTAGACATCTTCATTACACTTTCATTACCAAAAGGAATCCTATCCAAGCAGTGCCTATTTTAATCTCAGTCAAACCAATTTCTTTTGTAAAGTCAATAGCCTGGGACATTTCCTTTTTTTGGACATACTGTTGCATAACTAAAGAGTGACTTGTTGCCACAGTTACTAATGGTAAGAAATATTGTTTGGAAATAACAATGCCCACATAACGTACACCACGCCATTTGCTTTATGAGTAAAATACCCCTTTTTTGCAGAGCAAAAAAGAGAGGGGTATATAAGACAAGGAGGAGCTTTAGTTCCAGGATACACTTTGAGGTGCAGAAACACATGGAATTTGTGCAAAAATGTGAAGAATTTTTCTGACATCCCTAGCTGCAACTGCAGGAGACATCTGTTGAAATGGTTGCAAGGAGAGACAGAAGGATGGCTGGGGAAGGAGGACAGAAGTAGAGAGGATATATCATGTTCCTCTTCCCCACTTTTCCCCTCTTTCTTCCCTAGAGATGTAAATTGCTGGTTCTTTGGTATATTTGCCCTCTCATATAATCTCGCGATAAAATATGTAATTCACTTATAATTGTGACATTTGTTAAGCCACTGAATTGTTGGAACCCGTTTATTCTTCGTAATACAGCTAAGTTCAAATTTTCTTTACAAATATAAATGCTATTGTTGAAAACAGTTATGTATTATTATTTTTAATTAAAGCATACTAATGGGGAATTAATGGGGGTTTTAATGTCGCATGCACAGGGTGATGCTGTGAAAAAGCTACTTAAAATGATTAAAATGAACATTTTACTAGGATGCGTGGAAAGTGATGCCTGCCACTGATGACACTTGATTTATGAATAATAATTAAAACTGCCTTCTTTGTGTTCTGCCTCTCATTTCTACAAATGTCAATGCTGAACTCTGGCATAGAATGCACAAACGAAAAGTTGAA